ACTTTTGCTTGGCTCGTTCGGTTGCATGCTGGAGGGAAAAGCCACCGATGAGGTCCAGGATGTGTGCACCTCAGCTATACTTATAAGCCCATGTGATGTTGAATCCCAATTGTTTGCAGGCAGAAGGCGAGGAGCCGATCCATGTTCGGGCCCAAATTGCGATCGGCACCATGCTTTCATGGGTTATAGCTTCTAAAAGCGCCAAAAGGCCGAGATCCCCGAGGACGAGCAAGCTCCGGTGCAGGGCCCAAGCTTACCATTGAGATGTTGGTTGTCATTTCTTGTGAGCCCAGGACCACTTTGACCCCTGGGTCGGGCCCTTGGCATGCTTGCATGCATCATATATACTGCTGTAGATTTAAGATATGCCCGGAGGATCAGGAGGAGTATGCCGAGGCCGAGTTAGCACTGCTTTGCTTCCTGGATGCTGCCTCTTGCATGCACCACCCGATATATTGTTCAGGACATTGACTCCAGTGGCGACTTGGAGGAGGCATTGACTGGTGCCTGCATGCATGATTTCAGCGACACTATATACAATATACCCTAAACATAAACCCTAAACCCTGAACCCTATTAGAGCCTAAACCCTTAAACCGTGTAGAATTGGAATGTCCTTTGGGCAGGATCCTCTTGTGGATGGCTTGCAAGAAGCCCAGGAGGCTGGATGGAGGTCATGCCCACATGCACACATCCCGTGCACTTGTGTTGCAGGAGACAGAAGAAGTCGCTTTGGAAGAGCCCGTGTTCGCCGGGTGCTTGTGTCTTAGGTTTTCGCTGGGTCGGTATAATGAACATCTTAGGTGCCAGTGCCTCCGAAGCCGAAGAAGCGAGCACAGACCTCAATTCCACTTCCAGCACATTTAATTGAATCCTTGTCCGGATGCCAAGGCCGTGGATGGAACCACTTTGGCCGTGTTCTTGAGTTGCATGGCTTCCTTCTTCAACGAATGCTCGCCGTGCTGAGGTCAAGGAACCGGAGGGACCACCTCCGAGAAAGTGCCGAAGGTGGCCCGTGGGGACCCCATTGCATGCATGCAAATTGGATTGTTTGCTGCTTCTCCTCGCTGCTGCTGCTGAGGCGGCAGGATCGAGCAGCTCTTGGGAGGTCGGTCTGCTATTGCGGCCGAGTTGTTTCGGTGCTTCTGAGATGTGACAGGGGTTGCCGATGATGGCTTGGGAAGCCAACTGGCAGGCCATGCTCACTTGGGCTCACGAGGGCACATGTGCATGCACACATCTAATATGAAATATATGTGTGTGTGTGTGTGTCTACATCTACATTTACATACATACATACATACATATACATACACATATACATACATGCATACATGCATACATACATATTATACATACATAATAGATAGACATTCTAATATATGCACATATACTTTCCCGATAGTGAACATTCAACATGCAATCCTGCCTGCGAGCTGATAGCCCTGCAGGCGAAGTAGTATATAGTCACATATACAAGGCAGTCTGTGTGTGTAGATATACACATAAATAATAGGGTTTGGTGTTTGGGCTTAGGATTTAGGATTTGTCCTGGTTCCGGTCAGCTGAAAGGTGGCTGTGCCCAATGCTGGCGGGATCCAGCAGTGGGGCAAGGACAGGGCCCCAGCTACTTTGGTTTGAGGTTTTTTTCCGTTGGTCACCGACTTGGATGCACGAGGGCTCCGGATACAAGGGGCAGCAGATGGTCAAGGCCGGTGAGTTTGTGGTGCCAAGCTCGTCTCGCAGGGCCATTGGCTCGCGAGCAGAGGGAAGCAACCATGAAGCTTGCAGGTGAAGGCACCGTGGGCAGCCACAGGCGCCAAGGCCGCAGGGCACCAGCTCTCCGGGTTCGTCGACTCGGAGGGCACTTGGTGGCCGCCGGGGGCCGGCAGGTGGGGTCCAGTCGAGGTTAGTGCACAGCGAACCCGTATTGTTCATGTTGCAGGACCCGCAGCCGGACAAGGGCTGGGCAGCAGGTTCAGATGGCCCGAGCCGCTCCTGCTGCTCTTGCCCTGGCATCGGACAGTGTTGCCACGGTTCGAGAGCAGGCGGGCTTCTGAAATCAGCAGTGGAATGTGGCTCCGAACATAAGTGTTTCCGTGCTGCAGACCCAGTTCCAGAGGGAGCTGCTCTCCTTCGCGATGCAGCAGAAGCCCAAGTGAGGCAGGCTTTCATGGCTTTGCAAATGATGACATGTGCCCCACCGGAGCCACCACCCACCACATCCCTGGCCCCGACATGCAGCAACACTGTGTAAATGGGACAACCAGCACTTTTATCGATCTATATGGGTGCGGTGGCCGGGGTGACCACGGAAATATCGATCTATAAAGGCGGGGTGGTGGGAATGGCACGGCCAATATCGATCTATAATTCTGGTCTGGCCGGGGTAACCCCCCGGATATCGATCTATAAAAATGTGGCCGCCGAGACCAAACCGGGAATATCGATCTATAAAAAACTGGGTTTCGAGGTTCCGGGCCCTTGTGCCCCCAAACTCAGCAAGCCTGGCTGTACAATGGCCGGGTTGGGCTATCGGGACGGGCCCCTGGAGTGGGTGTTCCATGACTCAACAACAACATCACGGCTGCTTCGCTTGTGCCTGTGTTCATCTCTAGCCTTCCCGTGTTTCCTTGGACCGGCTTCATTCCAGATTGCAGGTGCCTGGGACATGGATGCCGTCTTCAAGTTTTGCATCCTTATATGCTTGGTTCTCAGACACCAAATCTTGGGCACCATGGGCATTGATGAAGCCTGCATGCTCGTGCAGGTCCTGGCCCTGTGGCTTCTTCCGTGATCTTCCTACTGAGCTCTGCCGGGTTGGAGCCTGGACCGAGACTGTGCTGTGGGCTTCTATATATGCATGTAGACCTGCAATGTAGGTGGCCTGATACTTTAGGGACCTTCAGGCCTCGGCTTGTGGCTGCTGCCAGGAACATGTCATCCTGGCTCTAGCTTCACTATATTTACATAATATCTACATATGCACACACACACATACACTCAAAACCTAAATAAATGGGCACGGTACATGTTCCCTGCTTGTGGCTGCAGCCGAGGCTATGGAAGCACTGGCATTTAAACTAGACACATATACATGTGCCAGCCCGTGTCTTGGTCTGGGTGGGCTCTTCTTGCTGTGGACTAGCCGAAATTGGCCCCGGGTCCAGCCCTGTATACGAGCATGCAGTAGCCGTGTCGCGAGTCCGACTGCAAAAGATTCGGGATGTCTGCCGGCGAGCATGCACTGCCCTGCCCTGGCGATTTCCTTGTGTTGCATGCTGTGCATTGCAGTGAGGGCAGAAGAGACAAACGAGAGAAAACAGCACAGGGCACAGAACTATAAACATTAGCTTGCAAGGTAACCTGCAACTGTGCAGTCGCCTCCCCCTCTCTCTCTCATTCTCTTAGACTCTATATCACTCTTCATTATATCCTTTATGTTCTTATACATATACTAACACTATAGAGCTATATTTATATGCATATATATATATATACATACATACATACAGATACAGACATATATATATATATATATACATATACATATACATATATATATATATGTATATACACATACATTGTTATAGTTTGTACATATACATATATATACATTTTAGACATAAGCTCTATAATATATGTATACACACATATTATACATATACATATATACATATACATATATATATATATATGTATGCACTATAGATGTGAGTTGTATGGTTGCCAAAATAAACATATGCTAAATACTGTATATACATGTATATAGGATGAATATATATATATATATAGATAGATAGATAGATATATATATATATATAGATGGATAGATAGATATATGTATGTGTATATATATACACATATCTACGAGTTGCTTGGTTGCTCGCTTGTTTCATTGTTGCTTCTCTGGTGTGCAAAACAAGCAATGACATTCGGCACACAGCCAACCAAGACACGAAGACACAACAATGACATCGTCGTCAGCCCTTGTTTCCGGATGTGGCATATTTCTCGGTACAAGTGGTCACCAGGACTGCATGTGCGGTCCTACATGATGTGCATGTGTGTTCTTGTTGTGCTTCTGTTGCTGTGCTTTCGTGTGTATCTATATACTGCTGCTGTCTTTGTGTGTCGCCATTGCTGTGCACGTCGGTGTCTCGCTGTGCCTGCATGCATGTGGCTGTCTTTGTGCACTCTGGGACTGCTTCTGTGTCTCTCTCTGTGAGTGTCATGTGTCTTGGCTTTGTGTTTTCATGTTCTCTTGCATGGTGTCTTGCGATCGAGACGACACAGACAAAGAGACAGAGGCATGCATGACCGTCATGTATTGACACATGTGCCCAAAACAGGAAGTACAGAGACATGCACAACAGACATGCATTCAGATAAACCAAGCAGGCATGGGAGGGATCGAGGCAGGAGGAGGAGGGAAGCAGCCAGAGAGCCATGGATATATAGGAGGTGGGCATGGCTGAGGCAGCTTATATAAGGGGCCGGAGGGGATGGTGACTGGAGAAAAGGACGATGGAAGGAACAGGGAGTTTAGCTTCGGCTGCAAAAGACAAAGGAAACGAAGTGAGGATGCCGGCACACCACACATAAGACATGAGAGCGAACAACTTCAAATCATGTCCGGGTGTATCTAGTCTGTATACGGAACTATCATATATATATATATATATATATATGTATATATGTATATATATATATATATGTATATATATATATATGTATACATATGTATGTATATATATGTATATGTATATATATATATATATATATATACTTTGGAGAAGGAGAAGCAAAAGCCAGAGACAGAAAGAGAGAGAGAGAGAGAGAGAGAGAGAGAGAGAGAGAGAGAGAGAGAGAGGAAGAATCCAACATTTCGCGAACCTGGCCCGCCGATATGTCCAAGCAAGGCTCAAAAGGATTGATTGCAAAGATCGGTTGCAGGGCTTCAAGCTCGCAAACAGATCGACATGTCTGCTGCCACAGCCATGGATCAGTTGAAGGGGGATTTGGCTGCTACAGCCAATTTTCTCCAGTCCATGACTGCACTCCCGAACTACGACAGTGTTAGAGAGGTGCAAGCAAAAGCCCTTTGCCAGCGAGTGAAGAACCTTGCCTCCGTGGATGCAAATGGAGCCTCAGCCCTGCTGGCTGCATGGACTGCAGGAAAGCAATGGACTTCTCAACAAACAAAGGAGTTCAGTGATCTCTTGGCTGGAGCAGTAGCTAGAACCAACACCGGGACAGGTCAGGGTGGCAAGAGAGCTACTCAGAAAGTTGATGCTTTCTTACCTGTCCGTCAAAGATATCCAGGCTTTGGAAGCTGGTGACAACATCCACGTGAAGTTGGATGTCTTGGCATGCCGGTGCATCAAGCTGAGGCTCACCTGCCCATCTGAGGCTTGCTGCAAAGCGATCTTGGCAGCTGGCTTGGCCAGGGCAGGCGGTGATGTGGGGGCGGTTGACAGCTATGCCAACAAGCAGTTGTTCAAGAAAATGCTGAAAAGCAAAGCCAAAGGCTTGCCCAAGAATGGCTTTCACCTCGAGCATTATCCAGCATCGCCAGACAATCTGCCCCCTGAGCTCGCCGATGCATACTCTCAAGAGGATCCTGCATGCACTGTGCAGATGCAATCTCCCGACAGGGTGCAGGCAGCATCATCTGCAATCGTGTTGAGAGGGAGCTCGAAGAAGCTTCGTGGTGGAAACATGATGGGTGCCGGTGGCATGCAGAGCTTGCCTGCAGTGTGTGCAAGTGGCAACAACAACCCCATGAACATGCAATTCAACATGGGCCTGCAAGGAATGCAGCCCGGGATGACGATGATGGGTATGATGAACACCATGAACAACATGATGCAGAGGCTCATGCAGGACCAGAATAAGCAGCAGCAGGACCCGATCCCGAACATGCAGTACTTCGCACCCGGTGGAGGTCAAGCGGGGGCAACCACCATGGGCCAGGGGCCTGCAGCAGGAACCCAGGCACCTGCAGCAGCAACCCAGCAGGCACCCGCAGGGGCATCTGCATCGGTCCAGCAAACAGCAGGCGGCAACGAATGCATCAGCTGGTGTCTCGCCGGCAGTGCAGTTGGAGATGAGTGATCCTGAAAACGACGAGGCCGACGAGGCAGAAGTGTTGAGGCAGGCTGGGCTCGTTGCAGATGCAGTCAACAAGAAGAAGGGGATTCTTAAGAAGCCTGCAGGCTTGCCCAAGGCAAAGGCAAAGGGCAAAGCCCATGCCAAAGCAAAGGCAGCCAGTAAGGCCAGTGCCAAGGCCAGTGCCAAGGCCAGTGCAAAGGCCGTTGCAAAGGCCAGTGCAAAGGCCAGTGCAAAGGCCAGTGCAAAGGCCAAAGCCGCCCAGGCCGGTAGCAGAGAATACTATGCCAATCTTTCCATGAAGAAAAGGGTGAGCCTTCGCCCGAATGGTTGCAGCAAATGCAGATTCGCACCAGGCTGCAGGCCCAGCTGCTTCTGTAAGTAATAGCTGCTTGCCCGATTCAAATGACCGGCTCGATGAGTGGGGAACTCGTCGACTGCAGCACAGAGGGAGGAAAAGATCATCATGCAGGCATGCACTTATGCACATCATGTTGCCTCTTCTGCTGCATGTGTGTGTGTCTTGCCAGGCAGCATGTAAACCTGAGTGATCGGATCGGCTTGCAGATTGGTCTGATGCTGCATTGCAAGTATAAATATCTCCTGTATATATATATATATATATGTATATATATATGTATATATATATATATGTATGTATGTTACATACTTACACACACACATATATATATATATATATATATATATATATATATATATTATATATATATATATATACGTGATATTATATATTGGTAGATATAGTCCAGCCATTATAAGAAATTAGTTGTAGATCGTGTGCATACATTGTATCATACGTGCATCCAGAGGTTTTTGTTGTCTTGAAGAACGTTTCGTGGGGACAAGGATTTATAGACAGGTTGACACATGTTGTATGTACAAACATACTTATTGTAAGAATTGTTACTTCTAATATCCGGTGCCTGCAGGGCATTTTGCTCGCGGGCAGCCATCTTTATAATCTATGTCGCTCGCTACCATCGGCAGAAAGCACTACGTGAGCCAGAGCGCTCTGGAGGCAGTACTGAAGGAAGTGGCTGCATGCCCTGAAGTCCTTGACTCAGCCTCCCGGCGAGGCGTCAAAAGGGCACGGGATTCCGAGCTGGAGGCAGAGACTCCTCATGGCCCTTTGGTGGCCAAGATTACAGTACCTGTGGAGGTGAAGAGCCGAAAGGCAGCTGGAGACGAGGAGGTGAAGATCGTGCCGACAGAGCTGCCGATCCTCAACCTGATGGCATGGATATGGCATGTTTGCCAGTCCATGCCTGGTGTAGCTGCCTTTTTCCAAAGGCAGCTATCGAAGTACCCGTGCACAGCAACCAGCCCATGGCGCATGGCTTTATACAATGATGAGATTAGTCCTGGCAACCAACTAAAAGCCAGCAACACCAGGAAGATCCAAGGGTACTACCTCAGTTTTCTCGAGTTTGACGCCGAAGGCCGATGCCAAGAAAACCTTTGGTTCCCTTTGAACTTGACTCGGTCTTCGGTGGTCAACAAGATCCAGGGCGGGCTGTCTGCACTCACCCACATTCTGGTCTCCTCGGAATCGTTCCTGAACCTCCAGTCGGGCTGTTTGCTGAACATGCAAACTGGGGAACGGGTCATGTTCTTCGCGAAACTGCATACTGTAGTTGCAGACGAGGCAGCTTTGAAATCTATGTACGACTTCAAGGGCTCCAGTGGGACTTTGGTTTGCCCGCTATGTGCCAACATAACAAGCAAGACCCACGGTGATCTGCCAGCAAATGACCACTCGGGAGAATTGCATGACATATCATGCATCGACAGCAATCTGTTTGTCCGCAGAACCGACAATCAGATCTTCACTGCACAGGCACTGCTGGCGAGAAGGCAACCCATCCTGAGCAAGAAGGATTTTTCCTTGCTCGAGTCCAGCATGGGCTTGAACTTCAACCCATGTGGAGTGCTTGCTCACAAAAGCATGCCGCTTGTGAAATGCTTGATGTGGGATTGGATGCATTGTTATGTGGTAAGCGGCCTCCTGCACGTGGAATTGAGCTTACTCTTGCCACTCTTGCATGTGCAGGGTGCAAAATTTCAGGTGATCCAGAGCTTTATCTCAGAGTACGAATGGCCTCACAACCTGAAGAACCGGAGAAGAGAAATCTTGCATTTGTTCGACAAAAGGAGCAAACCTTCTGAGTTCAAGGCCGGTGCTTCGCAGTGCATCACTGTCTATCCCTTGCTGCGGCTTTTCTTGCTGACTCATCACTTTGACACAATGGACGACGAACTTCGGCGATGCATCCGATCCTTTATGACTTTATGAAGATTTGTATGGTTCTCGACCTCCTGCTTGAATGCAATCGGACTGGGAACCTGTCGCCGGACGAGCTCGAGAATGCGATTCGGGCCCATAGCCAAGCTTTCCTTAAAGCATATGGAGAGCAGCACTGTATACCGAAGTTCCACTATAGCCTCCATCTTCCCCTGATGGCTCGAGACAGGCCTCTGATTTCCTGTTTTACACACGAACGAAAGCATCGGCAAGTGAAGCAGTTTGCTGACAACACGAAGAAAGTGACCGACTGGTTCGAAGCTTCACTCTTTAAAGATGTTTTGGGCAGGGCTCTTCTGGATCTGTCTGAGCATGCTGGCTTCATGCGGCCCCATTTGAAGTCCCCCAAGTCTGTCACTGATGGCACTTTGCTGTGGCACCTGGGGCAGACATTCGGGTTTCAGACTCTTGAGCATGTGCAGTCGGCCACGCAGGCCGAGGTCTGCCCAGGACAGACTTGCGAGAGGGGTGACCTGGTGCTGCTTAAGACGGGGTCCGTTGCAGAGGTGTGGTTGTTTTGCCGGTTGCAGCATGGCGAGCTCCTGGCTCTGTTGAGTGTGCTTGAGCCACAAGGGAAGAATCTCTTTCGGGTCAAGCAGGACGGAGCCCAGTTCATGCGAGTGGCCGAGATCAGTCGAACCTGCCTCTTCAAACGCATGAGTGCAGACAGCATGCTGGTCGTGCCATAAAAAAGATTGTTGTGCATATATGCCTGCGAGCGAATCGCCCTGCATGGCGACACATGAATTGTCACAGTTTTCATGTTCTGATCCTGCCTGCGAGCGAATCGCCCTGCATTGCGACATTGGATTTTTCATCATCCTCATGGGCATCATCATGGTTTTAAGGTGCTGTTAGTAAAATGCTAACTTCGTTAACTGTGTTTGGCTAACTTCTGTAATTGTACCTTGCTAACTGCACTTAGGTCAATTGCTATGTTAGACTATAGCCATCCCCACTAAACTGTACAATCGATTACTAACTTATGTATCTACTTATTAACCCACCGCCCTTAGAAGTATCCTCACCTCACGTCTTGTCGCCGTCCTCGTCGCCATTCCCCGCGCAGGATGCACCTCCGCCGTGCGGCTCGATACGTTCATCCGCCCGCTAGCACCCCAAGGTGCCCTCGCTTGGAGGCTGGAAGCTGCAGGGCCTGGAGGCTGAGGCTGGTGGAGGCTGGGCGTGAAACTGGAGGCGTGGAAACAGAGACTGGAGGCTGCAACCTTTGGAGACAGGAGGCAGCATTTCGGCGGCAATATTTGGGTGGCAACATTTCGGTGGCAACATTTCGGTGGCAACGTTTCGGTGGCAACGTTTCCGTGGCAACGTTTCGGTGGCAACATTTCGGTAACGCGGCTCTGGGCAACGCCGGCTCTGGGTAAACATTTGGGGTAACGCGGTTCTGAGCCATCGCCGCGTCTCCGTCGTCGTGTCCGTCGCGTCGTCGTCGCCGCACCGTCGTCTCCTCGCCGCGTCGTCGTCGTCGCTTCACCGTGTGTCGTCGCTGCGCCGTCGCAGCCCGCCGCCGACTCGCTGCCACCCGCCCGTCGCCTTAAGCCGCTCGGTCGTCGCTCGCTCATCCGTGGCGCGCTCGCCCGCCGTCGCCGCCTCCCCGCCTCTGTCGCCGTCGGAATGGAGGCCTATAGGACCCCCAGCAACAGGTCGCACCTAGCCGCCGCGTCGTCGCCGCCAGAGCCGTCGCCGCATCGTCTTCGCGCCGTCGTCGCTTACCCGCTCACCGCCCGCCGCTCACCGCCCGCCGTCGCGGCGCCGCCGCGTCCCCCCCGCTGCGTCGTCGTCGCTGCTCCCTCGATCTACCTCCACCTCCATATCCTCACCTCGCTGCCGAATCGTCCCAGCGCCTTCGTCGCCCCCGCCCCCGCCCGCCCGCTGTGTCGTCGTCGCCGCTCCCTCTACCTCTACCTCCACCTCTATCCTCACCCTATCCTGCGTTCCTGCAGATCCAACTCCTCAAAACTTCAAAGCGGGGCCTGTTGAGGATGGCGAAGAAGCGGACCTGGGATCGGGGTTGCACAGCAGCGCATAACAAGGTGACGCCCGCACCAAAAACACGCAGGCCGACACTGGTCTCAGAACCCTTTTGGAAACAGGCTTTACGTCACAAGGAAAGTTTGGCCCCAAACTCAACCACCCAGTCCTCCTACCAAGGTTCCAAAGCTGACGAGCTCCAAGGTTCTGACGCCGTTGGAGACGCAGATGTGCACCCTGAAAGGCGAAAGGGTTCTTTGCCTCAAGGAGGCGAACGCTCAAGCAGCTCCCAACACGCGACAAACAACACACCTAACACGCTACCTTAGACATACAACTCTCGCCGGGACACTTGCTCTTCACTCAGAGGTCCGCACTTTGAACCCGCCGCCTGCGCGAAGTCAACATCGACTGAACAAGTACGTTGGGAAGACTGGCAGCTCCCCTTTTTTGCACTCAAACGCTCATGCTCCCTGGATGTCTCAACTTTCTGTCATCAAATTCCTGGCCCTGCGCTGTTGGCAGGCTGTACGTCCGCCCTCTGGTGGAATGCTAGGTCTGCTGCTTCAACTTTCTATCATCAACACCGCAATCCCCCAGTCTAAGGCTTCTTGGCGGTTTCAATTGCATCAGAAGATTCCCCAGCGTTTGGGCTTCGTGTCAGTTACAAGAGCAGGTGCCATCTGCTTGAGAAGAGCGTGCACGGATGGCGACGCTGCGCAAAACCGCTGATCCGCCTTAGTGGTGGCCTTTACATAAATGCAGTGGGCGCCTCGCGCCTTCACTGCCTGTGCTAGGTCCTTGCTGGTGAAACGGCCCCCAAAGTCCTTGACCCTGACACACTGGTGAAACGGGGCGTCCGCCACACGGCGGGCCACCTCCTTCGCGGCTGCGGCCTCTTTTGGCCCGAAGCCACCCTGCACATCGATGCCGAGGAAGTCCAGGATCTGCTGCTCCTGGCACATGGCAACAAGCACTGCGCAAAGACAAAGGCGCAAAACAAACCCGTCCTGCTCGCCGATGGCTTCCTGCCGGACCTGCTCGAAGGTCTGGATCTTCAGTTTCTTGGCGACCTCCTGCGAGGCTGGAAAGGCTTCGCAAAGCACACGCACCGCGCTTAACTCCGAGGGCCTCCAGCTTGCCCACATGGCCGCCGGTGGGGTGCAAAAGGTCAGCTTTGTGCTCCACAGCCGCGTCTCCACCGTGGTGCTTGAGGAACTCCTGGACCTGGTCAGGCAGCATGCCAAACAAAGGGACGCGCTCGGCAAAAGGCCCCCGCCTCCTGCTGCTTGCACTCTTCCTCACTCAGCGCTGCGATCTGGAGACGAACTTCCCGCGCATCGGCATCAAAGCTCAATGCCATGGAGGCACTGCTCGCCAAAACGATCACCTTCGCCAACTCCTTGTCGTAGCCCAACGTCTTGGCGAGGCCCGAGCAGCTGGCCAGAACTTTCATGTCACTCACCTGCCGAGGCATTTCCAAGACGACGATGGGCACTCGGCCCAGCGTCTTTGCCGCCTGCTTCAAGGCCTCCTCCACCTCCACGTGGCCGGGGGCACCCAGCTGCTGGCGCAGCCTTTCTTCTGCGACCTCCTTGTCGCTGCTGAGCAGCACGTGGACGATGCCCTCGTGAAAGCCTGCCTTGGCATGCTTTGAAGAGCGCGAAGCGGTGAAATCATGGTTTCAAGTTGTGCTCAAGAAAGCCCTTCCGGTGAAATCACGGCTTCAAGTTGGGCTCAAGAAGGCCATTCCGGTGGCATCATGGTTTCAAGTGGGGCTCAAGAAGCGCCCTTCCGGTGAAATCATGGCTTCAAGTTGGGCGCAAGAAATCTTCCCGTGACATCATGGTTTTCAAGTTGGGCTCAAGACGGCCTTTCCGGTGAAATCATGGTTTCAACTTGGGCTCAAGAAGGCCCTTCCGGTGAAATCATGTCTTCAAGTTTAGCTCAAGAAGGCCTTTCCGGTGAAATCATGGCTTCAAGTTGGGCTCAAGAAGGCCCTTCCGGTGAAATCATGTCTTCAAGTTTAGCTCAAGAAGGCCCTTCCGGTGAAATCATGGTTTCAAGTTGGGCTCAAGAAGGCCCTTCCGGTGAAATCATGGTTTCAAGTTGGGCTCAAGAAGGCCCTTCCGGTGAAATCATGTCTTCAAGTTTAGCTCAAGAAGGCCCTTCCGGTGAAATCATGGTTTCAAGTTGGGCTCAAGAAGGCCCTTCCGGTGAAATCATGGCTTCAAGTTGGGCTCAAGAAGGCCCTTCCGGTGAAATCATGGTTGCAAGTTGGGCTCAAGAAGGCCCTTCCGGTGAAACCATGGTTTCAAGTTGGGCGTCCGGTGAAATCATGGTTTCAAGTTGGGCTCAAGAAGGCCCTTCCGGTGAAATCATGGTTTCAAGTTGGGCTCAAGAAGGCCCTTCTGGTGAAACCATGGTTTCAAGTTGGGCTCAAAAAGGCGGTGAAGTCATGGTTTCAAGTCGGGCTCAAGAAGGCCTTTCCAGTGAAATCATGGTTTCATGTTGGGCTCAAGAAGGCCCTTCCGGTGAAATCATGGAGTAAAGCCGGTGAAATCTTATTTTCCCTTTATGTGTCAACCGGGCGTTCATATTCCATATATACAAAAGAGTATACATATAAAAATTCAGGATATGTCACTCTTCATCCGAATATATACTTCACAACTAATAAAAATTCGGCTCACACTGGTGGCTCGCTTTTTCTCGTGATTGGGGCATCGCAGTGCCTTGCCCTGGGCTCGGGCCCAGGGCGCTTGCTCTTTGTTCAGTCTCAACAAAGGAAAAAAAGGATGCCACTTGCATCATTGCGAAAATTCGCAGCACAACTTGCGCTTATAACAACAGGGCGGGCTGGGTGGGACAAAACTTTTTCCCGGACTTATGCCGGAAATTTTTTCTTACCCTCCCACCACCCTGTGGAGCCAACTGACGGCATAACAAAGACTCATTGAGATCCGCTCAACATGAACTGTCATGTTTCATGCTAAGAAAACTTTGATAAAAACTCACGCCCTAAATTTTGAGTTTGTTTGACAAACCAAAATTTTTGACACATGGGAAAATAAAGCTTCATCCGCTATTCGCGGAGTTGCGTCTTATTTTCCCTTTAAGTGTCAACCGGGCGTTCATATTCCATATATACAAAAGAGTATACATATAAAAATTCAGGATATGTCACTCTTCATCCGAATATATACTTCACAACTAATAAAAATTCGGCTCACACTGGCGGCTCGCTTTTTCTCGTGATTGGGGCATCGCAGTGCCTTGCCCTGCCCCTGTCTTTGGCACTAAGAGCGCCCAAACTACTTGCCGCCGCACCACTTGTGCACATCACTTCAGTCGTGACTTCGACTCCTCAAGAAAGCTTTCAAAGAACTTTGCCGCAGGCCTAACACGCACGGGTGTCGGCAGGTTCCACACTCCTCTCGAAAGCGGATCCGAAGGATTACTTACAGAGGGAACTCGATCGTACCAAATCATAAAGCCAAGGCTTTCTTCAATCTCACATACCGCATCGATGACATGCGATGCAAACTGACTCACTGTCCAGCACTTCACGAAGGCGCCGTGAACACCTTCGTTGTCAGTGAACACAACCACATTCTTGCCCTTAAGAACTTTGAAGAAAAACTTCAGCGCAACATATACCGCCAAAGCCTCCAGCTCAAAGATGACAGTCTCTTTGACACGTTCAAAGGACGTCATGACTTGGGAAACAAGCGAAGCATCAAGGCTTTCACCGAACCATTGGAGCAAGGAGCCTTTATGATCATATGCCATGCCCCCGATGCCACAAAGCTTGCCCTCATCGCTGAAGGATGCATCCACATACACATGCACGACATTGCCCAGTTGCCGACTAATCGAGCGGCTTTGGTTCGACGAAACCAAACGCCTCAAGAAGCGACACGCCTCGGAAGTGACCTCGCTCAACCGACCTCCATGATGCCGGCTAAGCTGGTGCAGAGCAACCTTCGCTCTTCGACCGAACAACTGGCCGGAAGCAAACTGCAGCCTACCTCGAAGTCTCTCGCAGTCAGAATGCGACAACCTGCCAGCCAACAACACCTCGTCCAAGGCAGCAGTCAACTCCAGCACACGCTTTTCGGTGTTCGCCAACTTGAAGAGCCCCAGGCGAGCTTCAGCCATGTCAATCTTGATTCCAAGAACTTTACAGCACACGTCGTAAGGCAAAAGTTTATCTAGTGAAAGATCCCAACCTAGTAGCCGAAACAGAGTGCTGATCACGACTTCCACATGTCGGCGCTCCTCAGGCTTGCAGGCCGATAGGAAATCGTCAAAATAAAAACTCCAGACCAAGGCAAACATTTTTACCCCCAACCGCCAAATCCCGAATGCACAACGGATAAAGGCGGTCACTGAGGCTTTTGCCCCGAAGGGCATGACCCGCTGCTTGTAGATGACGTGCTTGCGTGTGCGGGGGCAGAAGATTACGAAAAAGCTATCCTTTTCGAAACTTTTGTCACTGAGCGGCAGTTGCTTGTACGCGGCACTGAGGTCCCAACATTTGCACACCAGTCCCGCACGCAAGGACTTCAAAGGAGACAAGTGCAACCACATCGCCAACATGCCAGCAACTACGTCCAACGTGTGAACGGGCACTTGTTCACTTTGGGATACAACCGAATTTACAAGCGAACTCAAGTAATTATCGATTGGTCTAACTTTGGGACCTTCCTCGGTCTCTCCTTGAATCACTCCAAAGCGATGCGTGACCGTCCCATCACCAGGGATGTCGCTAGCACCCATCGGCCCCTCAACGAAGCCTTTGGCCAACTCCTTCTCCGTGGCTGCTAGCACGCCTTGATCCACGATCTCGTCTCCAGAACTTTTAACCGAAGACAAAACCTGACCCCTAACCAAACCCGCACTTTTCCTAAGCGTTTCCTCGGCCGTGGCTGCCGGGCGGTACTTATTCTTAAAGGCATTAGATCGGGGCAAGGGTCCGGTTAAGTCAAAACCGTTTGACAGATCAGAAATCAAGTCCTCGTCCTCGTGTCCCACACTGTCAAGCATTTCCTTCATCAAGAGCAGCCGCTTGTTGCACAACACCTGACGTCGATGAGAGCTGAAGGATCCCTTGAACTGGCTTTCTGCAGTTTCCAGCTCCTCAGCGCGAGCAAGCCATTTCTTGAGCATCTCAGTTCGCTCGCGTCCAAGCGTAGCGACATCTTTGGAATGATTTGCCCGTATGGCCTCGACAAGCTCTGATGGCAAAAGGCTTTCCAAGTGACACGGATGTTGCACGCTCAACGCCCTCGCCACGAACTCCTCCGGTTCATGGTACACACCGAAAGTGATACTTCCTTTTTGTACTTTTGCGACCCTGGGAGGCACATCGCTAGAACCAGAAGAAAGGCCTAAGGGGAAACCCAATTTTTCTAAGAACCCTTTGTCGGCAGTCGCAAGTTTGGTCACTCCCACTGGGGTGTATGCAACGATTACTCCTCTGTCACCTCGCCACGGTTGAGTAGCATGCCAACGCTTCGGTTCAAAGATAAAGGGTCTCCCAACTGCCAAGTCGTGAAACCTCCCAGCACGTTGGGTTTTCCCGACGACCATTGCAATAGGTCCACCTGCCTCCTCGAGCCACAGTCCACCTCCAGCACAAGCGCGCGTTGCCATGACCAGGTTTTTTGTTCCTGGCTCATTGTGCAAATCTCGATGGGCTTCTGCGCGCACATTGCACAGGTAGCCCACGGCAGAGAAGCAAAAACCCGGAGCATTATCGCGAACATGCTTGCAAAGCACGGCAGTGCACCAAGGCATATCCCGCGTCAAGTTTTTGCAGCCCGTCATGGGCCCATGAGCATAGGCTCCGCACAGAAACTGATTGGACTGGTCATCACAGCTCCCCCTGGCTCTGGTCTGATGTTTTTGCGGCAACATGTCCAAGAGGGTTCGCATCTCCTCTTGGCTGAAGCGAGTGTTCCACTGTAACATGATGCAGGCAAGCTTTTCAGCAGGGTGAGCATCCTCAGGCGGAATGCAGGTTCGGACATGTACGGTGAAGAAAACTGGCTGGCGGCGAGTCGTCTTGCCCGTCAGCCTGGCCTGCACTCAAGTCGTCTGAAGCATCCTCTGAACTTACCCCCGGCACCGTGAGGATGCGAAGGACCTTGGAACCTTGTGGCACAGACGACACGAAGCACGGGTCAACGTTTGCAGATGCAGGTACCTCCCACGGTGCAGGGAGTTTGCAGCCTACTTGAAGACCATGCATAGACGCAGCCGGGAAGCTGCCACTGACGTTTACAACATGCTTGAACTCCGGAACCAGAGGAAGGACACGCTTGTTGCTTTGCCATCCAGCCACAGCTCTGGCCGCTGCAACTGTGGCTGTTGTCTGACTTAAGTCAGTAGGCAGAGGCTTGGCCCCCATGTCAAGCAGTTGATCTTGCAGAAGCTGTGACATAGCTTTGCACAAACCCCAAGGAAAGTCCAAATCACGGTCGAACTTACAGCCTACACCCTTAGACCAAAACTTATGTACATGTCCACCGGCACATGGACGATGCAACTCCAAGAATTTTGGTAGAGAGTGCAGCATTCGCATAGCCTTCTTGAATGGCGAATCGAAGCTGCAAAGGTGAAAGTGCGTTGTGAAGAGAGGAACTTCCTGAAGCAAAAGTCGCAAAGGTTTGGTAGCCCACACGAAACTTGACTCTGGATTGCTGATGCTAAATAGCACTCCGCGCTCGTGACATGTTTTGCAAGCTGCAGCCACAGCACGCAGGTAAGCATTAGCATCACTCACTTTAGTACGATCGGCTAGCCCCAACCCTGGGACTCCATCAGGATGGGCTTCGTTCCGCAGGATTGCAGGGGCTCCTGCAAATTGACGCAACCTGGCACGGCTTGTAGTATTAGAGGGCGGATAAAAATGAACATACATCAAATTTTCTTCGGTCAAAATCTCCTGGAACTGCTTGCAACCCGACTCTGTACACAAGTCAACAACAATTCGCGGTGCACAGCACTTGCCGGCTGTTCTGTCAACGGAAAAACTGTTATCAAGCTGTCGCTGCTTGAGGCATGCAGTCAACCGTCCCGACCCCGGCGAGACCTCTAATCTAAGACGAGACATTCATCCAAGGAGACCCCTTTAACCCTAGCCATCACTTTTTGAAGATAAGACTCAGGCTCCGGTGCAGTCGAGGCGACTGGCTGTCACTTTCGATGCTTCGGCAACGGATGCGCCTTGAAGCAGTTTGGCTCGCAACACAGGTGCCAGCCGCGCGGACACTCCTCGCCGTCAGCAGCATTGCGACACCCATCAATGTTGTATGCCCAACACAGCCTCTTCCCTTCGTTGGTCTCGCTGGCTTTCCCGACGAGCTGCTTCGGCATTTTGATGAATTTGGCCCCTTTAACTCCCGGCTGATCCTTGCCTTTGCCCTTGCCTTTGCCTTTGCCATTCTTTTTCCACTTGGTCGGCTCATCAGTCTTCTTGGCGTCATCTGTCCATTTCCGCTTGTTATCATCGATTTCTCCGCCCTTCAAAGGCAACAAGTGGAAACTGATGCTGGGATCCTGAAGAATGTCCTCAAGAGCTCGGTCCAAAGGCAAAGTCCCATCGGGCTGACGCTTGATCGAGGGAAGGCTTTCAGCAATACGTGTGAAAGCTGCCTGTCTGCCCTGAGCACCTGTGCCACTGAAATCTTCACGTAAGTAGGAGGTGGCAACTCCTGCAACCGATGGATCAAGGACGAGTGATACCGATTCATGGTGTCATAACTGGCGCACTTGACGAGATCAAATGCTAAGGCTCGCCGCCTCAGAGCCTGCGTAAGCTCAAGTTCAGTCCCCGTTGTGCAGGCTTGATGAGGCACCTTGTCCCTCACCGTCACGCTGTTCCCGTCGATGGTAAGCTCCTTCCCGGGCTTCTTGCCCTGAAGTTCAGACTGTCTGGTCGGGAACCTGTCTGGCCCCAAGTAAGTCAAGGAATCTGAGGACAGCATGGCGTACACCAAGTCATAAGAGGCATGGCTAGGTTCTTCTACTCCGCGATGCAAAAGGCCCGTGATCCTTGCACGCTGCTCTGTGATGCGCTCTTCCCTCTCGGCTGTAGCGAGCGTCGAAGGTGCTCCAGAGTCCCCCCTCTGAACCCGGGTTTTTAACTCTTGGACTACGAGGGTATGGGCCTCAAAGATAAGACGCTTTGCTGCAGCCATCGTCCCTGCCGTGATGGGCGCGGCCCCGAAGAGCCGCTGTACCTGATCATCGCTCGGAGACTGGCCCGGCGGTACTGTTGCAAAAGCCAGTTTGGAGAGCGTATCCACTCCGGTCCCCGTCATCGTGGCCACATTGGCTTGGGTCAAGCCAATCTCTTTCGCCCTTGATGCAAAAGCCGCCGTGGATTCCGTTAGCGAGCCCATGATCCCTCAGCAAGTCTCACAGTCTCACAGCACTGAACTACCGATCGGGTGACGTGTCAAATCATGAAGCCACATGTCAGGTTCTCAAGGCACTCCTAACATGTATCTCCATCTTGTCCCTACTCTGCAAAAGCACTCACTCATGCTTGTTAACAAATCGTCTCCACTTGAGCAGAACTTCGAGCAATCACATAGCTCCTCAGGATCTTCGCACTCGCAAATGAACTTGACTTCCAGATGAACCTCATCTGTTCACAAAGCGCACTTCGCTTTTCTTTCGCCCCACGTGGACAAAAATCGATCACTGGTCTTTGCTTTTCATAATCTGCTGCAGCGCAGCATTCAAGCTGCCTACATCCCTAACCGGCCGACCCGAATCACATTGCTTGCACTTTCGCAACTCAAGGAACGGCACACCACTGACTTCCACATGATCGTTAGTTAGGGCCCTTCCGCATATGAAAAGCCCATCTGAACTCCCAGCACTCATGAGATGCACAACACCAGTCCTAGAGTGTTTGTACATGGTGGCCTCAGGCCTCCAGGTGCTAGGCTTGCTCGAAGGATGTCGGAAGTCTTCGCCCTTGACCCAATCGTCACCGGACTCAGGCTCCGACTCGCTCGAGCTGTCGCTCGATTCACTCTCGCAAACCTGTTCTCCGCGTGCTTCAGATCCCAATAAAGGAGTGGCAACAGCATCGACCTTCTCAAACGACTCAGTGGTCCTGCCTAACGATCCTTCCTCATCAGAAGCCGCACACGCAGGCATACTCGGCGATAGCCTCATCCTCTGATACTTCGACTTTCACAATCGGACGATCAGCAAACCGTCCTGATCTGCTCAAGTCAGGCATGAACACACCTCGCCTGATGCTTCCCAACATTTCCGTGTATTTCAAGAGGGCTGGCGCAAGGTTGTCGCGCCCGTAAGCATCCAAGGATCCGTCGCCTGAGCTATGATGTCCTAAGCGCAGGCGGGTATGCCTATCCATTCCAAACTTAGAGCACCAGCTTAAAGAAGTCCCTTTGATGGCATGCGAAGTCGACGACTCAGGCACATCACAGCCGGCCTTGTCAAGTAACGCACGCATCCACTTGGTGACCTCTCCAGAATCGACACATCGTCGAGTCCAGCCCCCCTTTTGATCAGGTGCAGGAAGCACGGGTCCTACTCGAGTGGAACTAAAACCCAAACCTACATCCGCTGCAACCTTGGCCCACGTCACAGCCCATGCTGAAGATGTAACTCCTCGCGCAGGTGCAACCAAAGGCATGCTGAAACCTGTATGCGCCACAGCATTGGCAGTCTTATGGTCTCGCGTCTTGCACTCGATGAACCCTTCGCCTCCACTTGCAAGTTCACCGAAGTCAAGAAACCAACTGAATGTTTTTCTCAAATCCGACACTCGGCTCCGAGAGAAGATCCCAAACAAGATGGCACCGCAGGCGTAACGATCAAAGCTGTTAACAGATTCATCTTCAAGCAGACGTTCCAGGGCTGCAACGTATGCCACAAGCAGAACTGTGGCCTGCTTCCGCTCTGCCTTGGTCAGCTGTGCCTGACCTATGACCCCCTTGCTCCAATGGCTCCACACAGTGCTCTGCTTCGGTCCTATGACTGACTCGTCGACAGCAATGCCGACAACATGTATGGCGAAATTCACGCACTCCTGGAAACTGGTGAAGGCCCCGGCAGGCCTCTTCTCGCTCTTCAGGTGCTTCAAGTATCCATCCAGATGTGAGGACTTGAAAGGGAACAGGTCACCGCCCCTGCATTCTTTTCGCCCCCATGAGAGGTATCCCATGAGGGCTGATCCCCTTTTCATGACTGTACTGCCACTCTTTCGCCCAAAGAGTTCACGCAAAGTTTCAATTGCGTCATCAGTCTTTTGGATGGCAACTGTTTCTCCGATATATGACGAACCAGGGCACTCAGTAAGTATGACCAGCCACTTCTCAAGAGCACGCCGCCATTGGGCCTCTTCCTTTTCCTCATAACTGTCGTAGGCCCTTGAAGAAATAGCAACCCTGAAACACTCCCCACTCTCAGGCATCTGTCGTGCGCGTTTTGCCGGTGGCTCGGCAACAAGGTCTGAAGGCTGAATGTTGGAGCTGGACACAGCAGGAACGGGTATTTATTTTCCAACGAAACTTCCGTTAGCGCGCGTTTGGGAAACCCTAACTGCGCTGCAGAGGAACCCTGTGCAAAAACACTCTTTTTTCTCCTAGCGGACATGGGGGGTCAGTTCGGGCCCGATCTTCGGGCACTGACGAAACGATGCCACTGGCATCTCGATTCAAAACTCGACCGCTGGTCGATGGTAAGGCGAACGACTGGTTCACCCCCCCCTACCAGGGAAAAACCCGTACCACGGGAAGATAAAGTGAAACATTCTCTGACCTACTGGGTCACTGCAGCTACAAGTTGCTACTCTGTAGTCTGACGGCCTACGGCCTATGTACAAGAGCGCACTCTGTGCTTACGCCTCTCTGCGAGAGAGAACATAGGAGCGCTGCTCCGGGCAGCTCTGCTGCCGAAGCGGTGTCCCGGACCCCGCATACTATACAGGGTGTGGTGGGTGGGACAAAAATTTTTGGATCACAGATCCAACTCCAAGCCGAAAGCTGCACGGCAAAGTATGTCTAGTGTCACTCACACACAAGTGAAAACACTGTTTTCCTTTTTCGACAAACTTTGTCTACACTTTCGGCGGAAAATAAAACCCATTCACGCACGCATGATGGATGCTTATTTTCCAACGAAACTTCCGTTAGCGCGCGTTTGGGAAACCCTAACTGCGCTGCAGAGGAACCCTGTGCAAAACACTCTCTTTTTTCTCCTAGCGGACATGGGGGGTCAGTTCGGGCCCGATCTTCGGGCACTGACGAAACGATGCCACTGGCATCTCGATTCAAAACTCGACCGCTGGTCGATGGTAAGGCGAACGACTGGTTCACCCCCCTTGAAGGCACTCGAAGCCTTACTCACCCCCCATCTAGTCCGCGCCGAGTGACAAAGCCAACGGCACTGCGTTGGGAGGCAGGTATTGGCGCGCTGCGCCTAGCCTCTCGGTCTCTTCCCACCAGTCTCTGCTGGGGCCATCAGCGATGTTGCTGTCTGTCGGAACTCGGAAGAAAGCAGCCCTGCACTGCAGAGACTCTTCAAAGTCCACCGCCTGCGAGACTATCGCTGCACCTTCTACCTTGCGTGTGAAGGCCTTGTGTAAGGAGGTACGCGCTGCGTCGTTGTCTATCCAGACGAACAGGTCACTGCCTGCTATATGCTTGGCCCACATTTGAAGGCTAAGCAAATAGGGCAACAGCTCGCACTCGTAGACCAGCTGCTGCTTCTGTGCTCTGGCAGCCCACTGGGCTGCAACCTGGCTGCTGATCTGAAGCCCCCAGGTGAAGGCGATGCCTTCTCCAATGAGCACTGCTCCGAGGCCACACTTGGGCACCAGTCGCGGGGTCTCCCACTCGCAGGCCCCGTCGATGTACAGATGCACCTTCCTGCGTGCGTGAATGGACACTGTCCTGGGCGGACCGTGCACTACTCGTTGCAGCAGGAACGCCATGGCCTGGCACTGCTGCTCGGTGAGGGGGACTTGCTCTGGTCCGTCCCCAAGGACGTCGCCTACGCAGATCACTGCCATGCGAGTATTGCGACTACGGCTTGCTGCTCAGCGAAGATGAGCCTGCCCCGCAGGCTCTGCGCTTCCAATGGGGACATGCTGCCCCGGGCGAGGGCCTCGCTGAGGACCAATCCCAGCTCTGCTGCACGGGTCGGCTTGTTACTCACGGAGATTTCTCCAAGGTGCTGCTTGGACAAGTCGATTCGCACGCCTAGCACGTCAAAGACTTCGCTGAAGTCGGCGTTCTTCTTGGGCTCTGTGGCCACTTGCCAGCCCAGCTTGTGAAAAAGGTTGGACACTGCCAACGTGACGAGCTTCGAATGCGCGCTGCGCGTAAGAACGGTGAAGTCGTCGAAGAAGCTCGTCATGACCAAAGCAAGCTTTTCGCGGCCGATGGCCTTCAGCGCCTCGCTGCAGCGGAGGAAAGCGTGCACGGCAGCCACTGCGCCGAAAGGCATGCTGTGTAGGTGGGCGATTTTGACCTTCCCACTCTGTGGGTCCACCATGACGATGCACGCGAATTTCTTGTGTGCGGCCTGCACTGCAAGCTGCTTGTAGGCACTCTTGAGGTCCCAGGTCCTGCCTACTATGCGGTGGGCCCGCTCTGCGGGCACACCCTGGCGCAGCCACTCGAGGCACACGGCAAGGAGCTCGTCGATGCTATCGACTTGGACCTTCTCTGTGGTCCCGCAGCAGCTGTTGATAAAGCTGCTCTTAAAATTATCAATGGGGCGCACCTTGCCCTTTTGCACGACACCGAAGCGAGACGATACTATCGTCTCGTGCAGACTTTCCGGAGAAAAATCCTCCAAAGAGAGCCAGCCCTGCTGGCCTTCTTCTATTGTGCTTTCCCAGACTCTGTCCGAAACCCCTTCCTGTGAGGGGCGTAGAGCGCTGCGGACGCCGCGCATGCCTATGCTATGGGCGTTTTCCAGAATCGACTTCTCATCTAGAGAAGGAGGCAGAATCTGCACTGGCCACAACCCACTGGGTTGTATCCAGCCAAGCAGGGGAAAGCCTTCCCGCACTTGCTGTGCCAAGGTCTTGTCCGGGAAGTCGATTTCATTGAGAAGCTTTGCTAAAGCTACTGTCTGCTTGGGCTTGGTGACACTGTTCACCTGAGCGTCATTAGAGGAGCGTACCCCGGTCTCGAGGGCTTGGCACTCTGTGCAAGTTCTCGATATATGCATCGATGCCAACGTGCGACGCTTGGCCAGCAAGACAGTGTCTTCGTGCACTTCGGCGGCGATGGCACGTTTGAGGGATAGAGGCACTGCCTCAATGTCTCTGGCTGGGTGATCTATGAGATGCGCTCTGCGCACCCAGTGTAGAGGCTGCAGCGGGATGGCGATGATGGCCTTTTGTGAGGCTTCGATCCACTGGATGAGCCTGGAGCCTTTTGGGAAGCAAGTCCACGACTGTGGTAGCTTCTGGGGGGTCTTCCAGCCTCGAAAGCACCGCGCTGCGGGGCCTTGCAGAGTGACTTTGTCACTGAAGTCTGGCTCGTAGCGCAGGCGACGCAGACGCTTGCGACTGAGAGGCGCTGCCTGGAGTGCCGCTGCGCACTGGTCTGCCGCGAGGGAGACCCAGACCGAGCTCAGCTGAGTGGTGTAGGCGCTTTCTAGGGAAGTGGACCACACTGTGGAACCATCCACTGAGGCTCTGCCCCAAGGCAGGTGTTTATGGCCTCCGTCGCAGTCCCTGCTTAGACCGGAGAACCAATCCAGATTGGAGAGGATTGCAGTACGCTTGCGGCGCATGCTTCCGAACATGCACGCGTCAAACTCCACTCTGTGAGCTGACTGCAAGGCCTCTCTGAGGCAGGGCATCCTCCAAAGAAGGCTACGGGCTGGATTTTCTATGGACCAGCAGATGCCGCGCTGCGACAGAGAGTGGCAACACTGTGCCATGAAAGCGACTAGGCTGTTCGCGCTGCGAACTCGTGCTGCGTCTGGTCCTCGGAGGCCTTTAAGGCCTGCCGGGCGCGACTCGCTGCGCAAAGGGCCCGGCGCTCCTGGCCTGGGAATTTCTCTAGCTCTGCTAAAGGTGCCGCACGGCGGGGCCCAGTGGACCCACCTCAGGTCTTGGTGTGAGAGCACTGCCCTCAGCAGGTTGCGACCCAGCTGCGTACAGAGGTCGAGCTGGAGGACCTTGAGGCCTCTGGCCTTCGTCTTGTGATCCACTGCGACGTTCGAGAAGCCTTTCTCGATGGCTGCCTTACTAAGGCGACCGAGGCCGCAGAAAACTTCCACAAACAGTGGCGGCCGAGGGGTCGCTTTCGGAACGGGCTCAGGGAGAGGAACTCCCGGAGCGTTGTCTGCAGGCACGCTGTGCTGTTCCGACAACAGGAGCGCAGGGGGGTCGGCGTTTGCCGGTAATCCTGCGTCAGGCGACGGCGCAGCTGTGGCACATCCTGGCTTACTTGTTGCAGGCGGGTGCGGCAACGGTGCCGAGGCAGGGGGTTCAGGGCTCTGCCCTGCGCTTGGCGAGGTGGCAGAGAGGCCCAGCGCTGCTGGGCCAGGAGCTGCGGGCGCAGTGGCCGAGGGCTGTTGCGGCTCTGCCGCGCTCAGGGCAGGGGTGCCTAGTCAGGCGGCCCCTGCGTTCTTGGGGCAATCTGCGGCACCATGCTCGGTGCTGCCGCAGCTCATGCACTGATGCAACCCCCTGTCGCACTGCTTGGGGGATCCGGAGGTCTCCAGGTCGCACCCGCACTGCAGGTTGAAACCGTAGCAGAGGCGCTTGCCCGACTTGGAGACGCTGTTCAAGTGGCGGAGCTCTTTGGGCATGCTGGGCGGCCTGGAGCGGTCTGCGCTCTCGTGCCGTTTGCCCTTGCCCTTTCCGCGGCCTTTCTTGCCGCCTTTCTTGCCTTTGCCGGTCGTGCTACGACTGCGGTCCTCTTCGCTGCGAGGAAAGCTGCGGCCCTTGCCCTTGCGACCCCTGTCCGCCACTGGCGAGGGGAGCAGGTGCAGCGTGACAATCGGATCGGACCACATGTTCTCTACTAGAGAATCTAGTGGCCTCTTACCATCCTTGTCAGGTTTGCAACCCTTGCGACACTCTCGCGCGAGCAGCGTCCACAGTTCTTTATCGGCCCGTACTACGTGCCAACTGTTACCGCGCTCCATCCCCGGCGGCGCTGGCCGGTTCAGGACGGAGAAGAACTGTCTCACGAGTCTCTCGTGAATCGTGAAATC